GCCTTAGTCTTCTTGTGGAGTTGATTTCCTGGTTGGGTCTACCTGGTGGACCTGACAATTTCCCACATTTAACATCTTCCCAGCACTTCCCAGCGATTACTAAAGTGATAGAGAGACCATCCACATTACTTTAGCAAGCAATGGTTGGGTATCTCTAGAAAATGCTGTCAGCTGCCATGACCGCCGGTTTTGCCCATGGCAACTTTGGTGCCACTAGCAGCAGAAGAGGACAGAGACGTTATTCTGTGTGGCCTGCATTCCCCTCCTTGAAAAGAACTGGGCTACTTTTCCACATACCACATTTATTGCTGATTATTTTATTTTGTTCAAGGAACATTAATTTTCAGTGCAGTGGGCAAACGAAAATAGCATAAAGCAAACACACCTCTGAAATCAGTAACAAGCAATTACAAGCAATATTTTTTAAAAATCTAGACTAGAAAATCTGTCAAAAATCTACAAGAAGCAAATGGCCCTTGGGGCGGATCTCAGGCTGAAGAGCCTTCCAGAGACAGGATGTCACATATGAATCTGCCCTCTCCTTCAAGGTGGCATCACAACAGGCCTTGCTGGTGGCTCGAATAATGTCACTATTTAACAGAGGGTAGACTCTCTGCTGCTAGCCATTAAGTGTTATTTTACTTATTTCTAAAATGTGTTAATCAGCCAATAGTGAAAGCTCTCCGTTAGAGCAGTACAAACCATGTCCCAAAATAATGCTTGAAGAACAGTACAGCACTCACAGCACTTCCTCTGTTTACGGGCACTCCTGCTTACCCCCAACATGGGTCAACTTTTCAGGTTTCTCCCTTCGGGGAGCACATTCTTCTCCTGGGCAGAAGAGACAGGGGGCTGAAGGGGCACTCTCCAGGACTCACCAGAGTTAAAAACTGATAACATCACAAGTTTGCTATCAGGCAGGAGACAGCCTTCTCCGTCACACACGAGAGCTGTACAATGACTGGACTGAGATCCCCATGGCCAGGATTTGGGCAATCTTGTCTTAAGGGGGAGACTTTTGGCCATCTCTCATCTGGAAGCCCAAAGCAACTAAGGTAGCCTTTGACAAAATAGTGCTCCATGGTTGCTTTGAATTACAACTTCCATCATCCCCAGGCAGCATTCCCTTGCAGGCCTTGTCTTTTTAGTTTGTAAACATAATGGCAATCCCCCCCCCACTTTAAATTGACATTGTCTTTCTAGTTGACAGTGTGAAAGACAAAACCACTGTCATGTGTATATGACTAAATATTTTGTATGTCATCCAGAGACTGTTGCTCCTTAAGAGCCCTTCTGTTCAGAAAAATCAGGTATCTCCCCAGATGCTCCACTAGTCTTTTTCCCATCTCCTGGACCATACCGTTGCTATGGGCATAACTGGGCCTTCATCTTTTTATTTACTATTTTTACTGAAGATCAAAACTTACCATAACACTCTGCCGCAACAGGAGCAAGTGCGCAGGTCTCGGCAAAGTAGGCGTGGGTGGCATCCAGAGTAACAGCATCTGCCTCATTCTTCTGTCATGTGAAGAACCACTCAGTTAGCAGCGTGATGCCAGCTCTTTTCAGAGAAAAACAGCCCTTGCAAGCTGTGATCTGTTGGGACTACAGCCTTTTTCAGCCATTATTTGACTGGACTAGGAAAAGAACAGACCTCAGAAGTTGAGACGGGAACCCAAAGTTGCTTGCAGAATCTTAGAAAGTTTCTCCATGTCACTTCTTGGGCAGGATTTGTACATTATTTTGAGTCACGGTCTATTTAAGCATGATTTATTTAAATAAACCACAATTGGCTGGGTTTATAAAGCATGCAGAACCACAAATCACTGTTCACAAGCCATAACTGTTGGACTAATATTACACTGTGCCTCAAACAAATCACCCAACAGCTCAGTGCAGAGGGCCATGTTCCCCAAAGACCCCTCTTGGTGGCTTACAGAGCCCCCAAGCTATGATTATTGAATAAACAAGCTGTTTTCTGACATTTGGAGGAGCACGTTGAGCCATAAAATAAGTATATCCAGCGAAACATGAAGAGGACCCCCAATGTCACTCTTCCCAACCAGCCATGCTCCTAAGTCTGATACTGCCACCCAAGTACGTTGGCTCCCTGCTGACTTAGTGCCATGCATGAGTCAAATCTTCCTGCTCCTCTGAAGTCTCTGCCTGCCTCTGGCAAGGGGCTGCTTGGCTACTGAGGCCAGTTTTCTGCTTGCAAAGTGCCCAGGACTCAAAGCTAGTACAGTGAGCAAGTGCTCATCTTTCCTCCCATCACTCCAGAAGCACAATTACACTCCTGATCCACAAATCCTAGCCCGGTCCCATGAGCCAATCTCTCAGCCTCAGAGATGGGGGTCTGAGTTCCAATCTTATGAATATCCATCTAGACTGAGTCCAGAGGTATTCCTCACTCCCCTCCTCCATGCAACTTTGATCACTAGAAAAAAACCCACTAATTTCTTAGGGCATGTTATGCAATAGTTATTCTGGGGAAAGGCCTGGATCTCTCCCTCCCGCCTCCATTTTAACCCCTTTTTCTTATAGGAATATTCTCTCTTGAAGAAACCACTCACCTTGATGAGCTCAATGCAGCTGATCATGGAGTCTGCTTGGACACAGACCAGTGGGTCAGACCTGACATTCAGAGCCCACTCCTCACATTTACGGAGCTCCATGTCACTGATACAGCACCAGCACACCAGGCTATTGGACAGGGAGGTTCCTGGGGCAGCAGGAGAATGACAGTCAGAGGGGGGAGGACCAGCCGCCTTGCCCAGTTGCTGAGTCGGCTGGAGAATGGGCCTTCTCTCACCTTCGTGTCCCAAACCCTGCAGGAGAGCGACATAATCTAGGCCAAGAACTTGGCTGATCTCGGTCTCTTCTCCAAGCAACTGCAGGTACTGAGCAGCGTCGTGAAACAGCAGATCCCTCCCTCTGAATGGTGCAGAGGCAAAGAGCTCAAATCTGGCCTTTTCTTTTCCACTGTCTCCAAACAGGCGCTAAGAATCAAAGCCAGTTATCACAAGGACGTGCACTCAGGCCACAAGCAGGGGCTAGCCAGGGCAGGGGATGGGGAAGCATTTGCGGAAAGCCACACCATCGGCAAGCTTCCAGAACCTCATGCAAAGCAAAAGGAGCAGCTCGCCTGATCGCCAACACCAGCCGCAGGAAGGCAGAAAGGGGATTTAATTTAATTGGAACAGGTTTCTGGGGCAGAATCTTCCTCAAATACTGTATGATGTATACTCAGCCACCCTCCTGGTGCTATCTGTCCTCAAAAGTATGTTTTTTTCTGGCTACATTACCATCTGGCTTTAGGTCAATTGTGGCTTCTGTGTGCTACTCAGAACAATGTATTTCAGGAATCTGCTCCTACGAGGTTGACTTTTGGGATGCTGCTGGAAAAAGCACAGGAATTATGGAATGATCATTCAAATATTTGCACGTGGGGAGGCAGGAAAGTAGACTTAAACAAAACAAAACCAAAGCGCAGCAGCAACTGGAGCCTGCCATTGCAGTGCTACCGATCACCAACATTTACACCTTCTACTTTCCTGCCTCCAGGAGGGTACACAGCAGATTTTGTGTGCCATTCTTTGAGAATTGCCTCCAGAGCACCAGTTGCATCTGGGAAAACTACCACCATCGCAGCACCTCACATGCACAAGAAGCTCCCGCAGAGATCTTATCCTGGTCTCCAGTTATAATAACAAGCTAGTTAAACTGGGCCAAGGAGAACCAGTTTCAGTATCTATATTCTATTTGCTGAACAAATTTGAACACCAGGAGGGCACATGCCTTGTTTACCTTAACTTATTTTAAGCCAGAATTCCTGGCTAAGAATCTTCTAAAATGAAACTAAGTTGTAATTTATGTCTCCTTCTTCCCAGCTAAGAGAGAGCAAGGAGGAAGAACCCTTGAGGCCTAATACTCTGTGCAGGCTCCTTTCTCCTCGTGTACCTAGCTCTGAATCATGGCTTAATATTACATATGAATCACAGCATGCTTTGCCTCACCCAGAGCCTTCTTTCCTCCTCCTTAGCAATCACATCCTTCCAAAAGCCTGACATACCTCCTGAAGGAAGTGGACTTTCCCCAAGGGCAGTGAGGATATACTTGAGATTGCAAGAGGTGAAGAATCCTACAAAGCTTGCTATCCCACCTGGCAGGTGTGATCAAGGAAAGAGAATCCACCCAACCCTGAGATCTCCTAGACAATCTCACAATGGGGAAAACATCTACCTACTTTGGGAGCAACAAGTGTTTAAGCCTCACTTCCTTCAGCTAAGCAACAAGAAAAAAATTGGCATCAAATGTTTTTCTCTCATGTTGGCACACAGAAGTGTTGCTTACACAAATCAGGGGGAGGGGGAGGGGGAGGGGGAGGAGGGAATGATGTAAACCAGTTTCTCAACCTCAGCAACTTGAAGATGTGTGGACTTCAACTCCCAGAATTCCCAGCCGGCATGTGGATGAATCTCATGTTCAGTCCCCTTCTTGAGACTCAGAATCTGTACATGCTTGCCAAGAAATACCTGAATGACCATGAGGAAATTCTTAGTTATCTTCTGAAAATTGTGGCGTGTGACAATAGCACGGCCTGGTCCGTGGCCCAGGTTGCAAGTAGAGTAGGCCGTCAAGGGAGCAGTAGTTCCATCAGGACACAGCAACTCATACGCTTCCCGTTCCAACTCTTAGCAAGAGAAAAAAGAGGGCTGGTGTTCAGGGAAGCTGAGGCCAGAGCCCCCAGAGCAGAAGTCCCCCTGGTCCCGGATGGATGGATCACTGCCCACTCAACCACTAGGAGGAGGAAGTGCTTGGCCTTCTCTTGCTCACCAGACAATGACTTCTGAGATTCTGTGCTGGCTTCCTACCCAATCTTCTTATCAAGAGTTGTAAGAAGAGAGATTTAGATTGAAGATAAAAGGCCAGAAAGATCAGCTTCCTTATTGCCCTGAGAAAAACACCTGGCACAGCTCTTGGAAGGAAGGAAGGAGCAGAAATATTCAAAAACACCTCTTGCAGGCAGTTGACAAAGGCATATCTTTCTTTTTTCTCTATGGATTATGCTCAAACTATACATAAACTAAAATACTATGAAATGCACTAAGTCTTGCAAAGAAAATCAAGCCAGGATAGAGGCTATGGACGGTCCCTTTTAATCAACTGCAAAAGTCAGATGCCGTCCTGGGCCCAAAGTTTACCTGTAGCATTCATGACTGTGAGGTGATCCAAGAAAGCAACATCTGACAGCCCCAGCCTCAGGCATCTGCACAGATTAAAGTGATATTTAGCGTGACTGGCTGCTCTGCATTCCTTCTAATTCCACTAAGAAGAAGTACCAGAATGAACACAAGACCACCTGAAGGCTCCCTCTGAGCCAAAGAAGGGTTCGCTGTGGCTAGTCTCGCAGAAATGGTTCTTGTCCCAGATGTACGACTTCTGCCCTTGGCAGAGAGCACAAAGCTGAGGATAGGTAACTCCGGTGCCAGGGATGCAACTGGCATTGAAATAACCACTGATTGCTGACAAAAGAAGAAGACTTGAATGAAAAAGCAGACATGCATTAAGGGCAACACTAGTACAATCAGGGTATGTCTCCTTGGAGCGCCACCCCACCTACTGGGATCCGTGGCCTTATTTCAACAAAGTGCACCCAAGGCTGCATCTGTAGGACCAGTCTACATAAACAGTTTATCCTGAGTCTTCTGACCTACTCATGAGGTGCACAACACACTGTGCTGCAATCCTGATGCTATGTTCTCTAAATAGCCCTTACAACTCCTTAACACTCCCTGCTTCTTCCACACCTATATATTTATTTATGGGCAAGCACTGATATCCTGTCCAAATAAAATATTTTATTTGTAAAATAATAACATATATATCATAATAATATAAAGAAAAGGCAAAAACACATTTGACGTTTAGAGACAATTCAAGGTAGACCTTGTTTTACAATATAGTCTGAATGTGTCCGAATTCACAAAACATACTAGGCTAAAATTAAACCATAATATTTGTTAAATTTGTTTAAAAATTCTCATGTGACCACTTTAGAGATTCTAAGCACTTCAGATATATGGGAAAAGATCTCCCCTTAACAAAAATTACGGTAACAACAAAACCTCAAAGATAAATGAATCCAATACAGGTAGCTGAATCATCATCGGCCCTTAAATAGTCCTCAGAATGAAATAGATTTAACAGCCTTGCAAAAACCCAAGAACTTGGGAACCCACACGCCTCAGAGGGCAGCCCCTTCTGTAAGGTGGAGGTGGGTCACCATCAAGGAAGACTTTGACCCCATCCCCTGCACCTCCTGAAGGTGCAGCCCTCACCATCCCCTCTTGAGATGACATGTTGGGCTGTCTAGGTTAACACTAAGACTTTGAAGTGAATCAGGAAACCTGCTGGTAGAGAGTGCTTCAGCCAGACCACTGGCGTTCTGCTGCTAAACCTGCTCAGCCCCATAAGCAGCTGGGCATCCACATTTTAAACACATTTCCAGGTCAACTTCAAAGGCAGCCCCACGTAGAGAGCCTTGCCTTTGAAAGTGAATTATCTTGACTCTTTTTAATCTGGTTTCAAGGCTGGGTGCAGTGTGGAGATGGCACTGATCACATTTGATGATGATTCTGGCAGAACTGAGATGGGATGGTGCAACTATCTAGGTTCTGGATGTCTCAGCAGCTTTCAGAACCTTCTGAAATATCCTCCTGACATAGCTATGGGGATTAGGAGTGGGGTGTGTGGTGTTCTGGTTGTTCTCCTTTTTCATTACTAGTCCCTGTTGGTGGGGGCGGAGGGCACAGACTGAGCCTGAGGCCCCTGCTTTGCAGAGTGTTGGAGTCCAACCCCCAGCCCAAGGCCAGAATCTTCAGACCATCCCAGACAAAGGGCTGTCCAGAACTTTCCTTGGAAACCTCCAGTGATGGAGCCCCCATGACTCCAGGAGGGAGGCTGTTCCACTGCTTCACAGCTCTCGCAACCAGGAAATTCCTCCTTATTTTGAGTTTGGATCTCCTTCTGTACAGGTTCCACCCATTTCTTTTGTCCTATCTTGGAGAATAAATCCACACCCTTTTCCCTGGGATAGCCCTCCAAGTACTGGAAGACTGCTACCATGTCTCCCCTTAGCCTTCTCTTCTTTAGGCTAAACATGCCCAGTTCTTTTAACCGCTTTTTCATAGGCTTTAGCCTCCGAGCCTTCTTTGTTGCTCTCCTCTGCACTCTTTCCAGGTCCTCAGCATCCTACCTGAATTGTGGCAACCAGAACTGGACCCAAATATTCCAGGGGGGGTCTGACCCATGCAGTATAGAGCTATCCCTTGCCGAGATCTCAACATTATACCTCTGTTGATGCAGCTCAAGATCATAGTGGCTCCTTTGGCAGCTGCAGCACACTGCTGGCTCATGCTTAAACTGTGGTCTACCGGGACACCCAGGTAGTTCTGCAGGTACTACCGATGAGCCTGGCATTGCCTATCTTGTCCCTGTGCACCTGGTTTTCCTACCTAGATCCAAAATCTTACATTTCTTGTCACTGAAGCCACTGGGTAAGGTCATCTGATGGCACAAAGTCAGGTACCATTAGTATCCAGATGACATCTTCAACCCAGGCTGATCAAGCAATGCTGTAAATGTATTGTCTCAGTGTCTGGGGCTACTGGTGTCTGGATGGGAAAGCCAAATTCAGCCCTAGCAAGACTGTCTGTAGGATCACGGACCAGCTGGTTCTGAGAACTTATCAACTTTTGTTCTGAATGGTGTGGCGCTTCCCCAGACAGAATTATTGCAGAATTTGGGTTGTTTTTTGGGGGGGGATTCAGGAAAGCCTTTACCCAGGTTTGTCTGGTGCACCAATTGTGGACTTTTTGGATTGGAATGTCCTGCTCACAATCACTCATGACTTATTCACCTTGTTAATGGGTTACTGCAATACATTCTACATGGGGCTGCTCTTAAAGGCTACTTGGATTATACAATTGGCTCAGAAAGCAGGGGCACAAGTAATTATGGGCATCCCTCACTAAGCCCATGTAAGACCTCCACCACCAGAGTTGCACTGCTTACCAGTGGGCTTCTGGGTGCAATTTAAGGAGCTGGTTGTCATCTATAAAGTTCTAGATAGCAAGAGCCTGGATATCTGCAAGACTGCCTATCTCCTGCTGTGCCCCATCTTTGCATGCTTTGGATCTTATCTATTAATGTCATCTTGCAGGACCCCACAGGCAAGCCTTCTCTGTTGTTGTACTTGCCCTCTGAAACAACATTCCCCCCAACTGCCAAGTTTTGCACAGCTTTACCTCTAACTGCCCAAGAAAGCCTTGGATCTCTCTATAGGTGCTGAGCTAGGGGCTTTGTGCATCCACCATTAAGGCTGAATAGGGTAAATTGGGATGGTTCTTCCCTCCTGGCATGGCTATTTTATTTCTGTTTTAATTGTTGTATTGTTCCTAATCTTTGTTAGCCATCCAGAGTTATGTATGAGTGGGTAGCTATAGAAACTGAAATTATGAATAAATGAATAATCTATCTGAGACATGATAAGGCTGAGCATTCCCTTTGTAACGGCATTCCAGCTGAAAGAGGCCCACATCTAATGCACCAGCCAGACGGGCAAAGGCTCCCAGTTGTGAGTCCAGGAGAACCCCCAAGTCACACACTTGCTCCTTTGGGGGGGGGGTGCAATCTTGTCTAGATCTAAAGTCAGTACTGAAGAAGAGCCAGACTGGTTACCTACAACAGCATCTCCATCCTTTTGAGATTCAATTTAAGCCTGTTTTGTCCCTCAACCCTCCAGATACTTAGAAAGGACCTCCACAGCCTCTCTGCCTGGGGTAGCAGTATACAGTATATGGATTCCTCACCCTATATTGACAAGGGTTTTATGTAGATGTAGGGCCAAGTCTACAGTACCCACATTGGAGCAGACATGTACTAGAACTGCCCACTTAGGAGACAGCAGAACCACTGTATATTTGCCTCTCTTCCCCACCCTTACAGGTGGTCTAACAAGACAACATGGCCAAACATTGCCAAGAGGTCTAACAGGACCAGGAGCAGTACACTCCCCGCATCTACCCAGGTCCTGATGTAAGTCATCCACCAGAATGACCCAATGTGTATCAGTCCTATGCTCAGGCCTGAAACCTGACTAGAAGGGATCTAGGTAATTCATGTTGGATGACTAATGCAATATGATCTGTTTTTAGTGTAGCATGAAATGTGAACCCAGTCACTGTGGTTACAGACCATGGTTTATGGCAGTGGTCCCCAACGTTTTTCTTTATGCAGACTATCATGTCATCACTGAAAACTTCTGAGGATCACCACATCAACTAAGAGTACATGACATGGCACCCAATTACTTAAAAAAAAAAAATAGCTGAAATCTCCCCACGCTACCTAATCTCAAAAATGTTGGCATTTTTGTCCAAAATCTCACATTTGGAGTATTTGGACAAATCCTGAGATTTGGCGTATTTTATTTCTTTGATTATTTTATTTCGGCATCTGCACCAAATGCCCTCATACTGTGAGGGAACCACCGGCTTACAGCATAGTGTGTTGTATGAACCCAACCACACTGTGAATGTTATGACCTGGGAGGTCTTCTTATGGCATTATGGAATGACTCAATACGTTCAGGCAATGGTCACTGTGTCTATGAAATGGATATGATTCAGCCAAACGTCAGGAGCTGAATGTAGTATCAAGTCCAAAGATATATGCTTCCATCTCACAGCTCACTATCTGTCTGGATCTATTAGGATCAAGTATCTGTGGAGATATTATCCCAGATTCAGACAAAGAGGCAACCCTTGTCCACTCACCATGGCTGAGGGGCTGGCCTGAGTCCCACACCAGATCATTCCTAGCCAAGAGGAAGCCCATGGGGATGTTCCAGCCCGAGGTCCACCTAGCCCCATTGTGGCAACTTCGGGATCCTTTCAGCCTTTGGAGATCCAGCGTTCCACGCTTGGCCACAGCCACTGCAAACACACAGCTACCTAAGACAGCGAAAGTTAGGGGAGCAACAACATTCACTTGTAGGGAAGAAAAGACGTAGGTCTGCCTGTGTTGAGCAGTTTTTTGCATCAAATATGGTACTCCTGATTGACAAGAAACCTAATCCAAATTTTGGATTTTGAAACATTCTGTTCTGCAGCATTTTATTTTCTTAGGTTTAAATTCAGTCTGAAAGAAGTGATTTCAAGCTATGTGGCACCTGGGGTGCATATCTAGCAGTATGATTAATGCCATGGTTTCTGTCCAAAGAATCTTGTGAACGATAATGTGGTGAAGGTGTTATAAATCTTGGCCTTGCTGCAATGGCTCCTTATCTGCAATGGACAGGGGGATCTAAGTACACTGCTCCTCCTGTTAGCTCCAGAAGGCCAAATGCTTTTAACACTCTTTTCTTATACAAAAGTCTCCCTTCCCCAGTTCTTGAAAACAAAGCACTAGTATAGCTCTGCTCAATTACCTTCTTGCCTTTCTTTGCATTTACAGTTAAAGACCCATAGTCTCCACATTTCTTGGGACAAGAGAAAAGGCCCTGTGTGGATTTCTGAGCAGAGACAATGATGCAGCCAAAACTAATGTACCTTTGAAAGTCCAGTCCAGTGGAACCTCTCTGGATAAGGAGAGGACGAGAGATCGCCCACTCGTGCCCCAGATGGCTGCTCCTCATGAGGAGACCACAGGACAGTGGTCGACTCTTGGAGTTGAGGGAGGCCATCAAGCTCTCAACCACAGCAGAGCCTATATGGACACTAGGTTCGCCAAGCCTCACTTTCTAAACACTTTTGGAATATAACTATTTTAAATTTAAAAGAGGTCTTCCAAGCACAAGTTTGAAAAACTACCTGGTGACTGATCCTTCATTCCAGAAAGCAGGGAAAATTAATTAACAATTTAAAGATTTAAAGATATAAAGTAAACAGCAAAAGGCTAGATAAGAATTGAATCCAAAAAAGTTTGAAACGAACTAAGGGACCAGACAAATTTGAAATACTTGATTTAATATTTGAAATATTATGACTTTTGCTACAAGACTTCTGGAATAATTAAAAACAAAACAGTAACTTCGTGGGAACAGAAATTGTTTAGTCTTTCAGGAAAGAGATGATAGGCTGAAGCAAAAGAAATCTGAGACAGACTATGTAATATACTGTAGAAAGGAGATACTAGAGGAGTCTAAAGACCCCAGGCAAAGGAAAAAAGGAAAGAAAAGACTGCTTTTTACTTTTGAATTTGATGATTAGCAGTGACACTTGTAAAAATGACAGATAAGGGTATTACATTGGAGACACTTCAAAAGATTTTTGAAGAAATGGGAAAGAAGCTCCCAGTTATAATGACAGCAACAATATCTGCATATGCAAATACATTATTCAAAAAAGTTTTTAAAAAAGAAATGAAAGATGTGAAGGAGAATAATTTGGAAGAATTTACAAACCGGCAGGATGAAGAGGTAAAACAAATTCTAACCTAGAGAGAAATACTAGAAAATAAAACAGAAGTCATGGACTATAAGACAGAGATGAAAACTTAAGTGGAAATACACATGACAGGCCAAGAGATGAAAAATGACCCGGGTAGTGACTTATTACTGAATTTACAAGAGAGGGTTGTTACAGCTGTGAAGAACTCCCAAGACAGGAGAAAGAAAATCTGAATGGAGATCAAATCATACACAGCTTCTTAATGAAGTAAAAATTAAGATTGTCAGGAGCAAAAGAAAGGAATATAAAGTTAACCTGTTTCATCAGGCTTAAAATAAGAAATACTTTTATAAAGTTCTGGGTAACCTTTATGGACTTTTTATTGATCCTGGACAGAAACATTTAATGATTTTTGGATCTGTGGATGGATAAGGGTTGGGATATGGGAAGAAGCGATTTATGTAATATAATATCAAGAGATACTAAGTTTGCTTGTACTTTTTGTGAAGAAGATCGGAAGTCACTTTTTTAAATATTCTTTTTTCTTTTTTTTCCCTTCTTTTTTCTGCACTTTTCATTTTTCCTTTCTCTGTTCTTTTCTTTTTTTAATTTCAGTTTGTATTATCTTTTATTACGGTTACATTTAAAAAAATTTTTTTCTTCCTAGCATTTTCCCACAGGTCCAGGGCCTGCTTTTTTCGGATTAACTGAACGTTGATCCATTGGTTGCGACAGGAATTGACCGACTTGTCGCCCGAGCCTGACATCGTGAGCTGAGAGTGCATGACTGGCCCAAAGTCACCCAGCCGGCTTTCATGCCTTAGGCGGGACTGGAACTCACCATTTCCTGGTTTCTAGCCTGGGGCCATAACCACTAGACCAACCTGGCTCTCTGCTAAAATTTCTAATAAAAAGTTAAAAAGAAAAAGAAAAAGAAAGGAAAAGCCATGTGTATAGTTGCCTAGGCCTAAATCTCACTGAAATCAGTGACATTTACTTGTAAGGAGACATGCCATGGTAAGCCACTGTGGGGCAGACAGCCCAAGGCGACTTTCCTACATGAGAACAAACAAGGCTACTTTTGTGAAGAAAGTCTGCAGCCTGTTCTTTTCCTCCACACGAGACCTGGCGTGGTCATCTTCCGGAACACCCAACTCACAATAGTCTTTTGTCCTAGAAATCTCCTACCAGAGACTGCCTCGGATTGGTAGACCCCTTGACCTTCTCTGGGCCCTGACAGTCAACTCTGGGAAGAATATAACTGACCTTCCAAGTAGATCTCCTTTGCCACCACAGTTAAGCCATAAAGCTTTATAGCAGAATATACATCTCCAGCATCCAAGGAAACCGCATCGGCTTTATTCTCCTGGGAGAGATTTAAAATAACGTTCTTAGTTCCTTCTCTACAAGTTCTTCTGGTCCATCTGGCATCTTGCTTCTAATTACAGAAGAATGTCGTATGCATGATGCAATAGGACTGGCTTAATTAGTACCCAGCCATATATGGACCGTAATCCTTTACGAATGAAGCACGAACACTCATAACAACAACTAACATGTTTTCCTAGAGATCAAGCCACTTCCACCCTCATGGAACGCAGAGGTCATTCAGCTGCTCTGAGAAGGGCTATGTATCCCACCTCTGACCACCACTGGCACCTCGGCTGGAGAGCTGAGGTTCTTGGGAGACCTTATGCTCTGATAACAAAAATCAGCACGGAGCATCTTAAAGAAATGAAGTGCTTGTGCCATTTTCCTAGATTCCTGACTTTGGGAAGGGGCAGCCATCATTCACTGCATCCACTAGTCACTAAACAGAAGACATCCGTCACTAAGCAGAAGACATCCACCCTGTCATCTCAGCGTAATGAGAGGTGCTGAGTCACTTGGTTATTAAATACCACACTCAAAAATGTAGAACCCACAACTAAATGGGTTACACCTCAGAGTATCTGTGTCACCTGCTCAGCAATTCTAATTTTCAGAAATGCTCTGATAAACAAAGTTGTTTGTTTCTCCAAAGAGGCAGATAGTAATTTGTGCTGTTTATTTACTTACTTACTCACTTGCTGACACAGGCACTGACTGCTCCTTGCTGCTCTTGGGAGCAACTCGCCTTTTCAACAGCTTCATTTTGAAATTATCCTAAAAGCAACCATTCTGCCTTTGCCCTCCCTCCCTCCCCCCAAAGCCAGTGGAGAGAGCATTTATTTTTTCTCACTGATTAATAATTATATTATATCCTATATTCCTATATCAAGGAATTCGTCCAGTTTTCCTTCCCATTTGAATCAAGGGAGGCTTATCTAGATAATTTTGACTGTGATTTTTGTCTTCTAAGGTGTCAGTTATCCCACCCCAATCTGGGTAATCAGCACTCCTTCCGCCTCTTCATCCAAGTGATCCATGGAAATCGTGAAGAGTGAAGGACCTGGACCTCATCCTTGTAGAAATAGTCTAATTTGATGCGAAACTGTCCTAGTATGATTTTCACACCTGCTTTGCATCCCCTTAACTGTTCTCCTATCCAGCTGAGGGTTAACCAGCTCGCTATTTTAAGCCGTCTCGAGCACTTATACAAACAGAAAGGTGGGGTAGAAAGGTAATATAAACTTCAAAATTAAAAACCAGTCAGATGTCCTGAGATGCACAGATAGCCTCAGTGGCCAAGAGGGCCTATACCAAGTTTGGCCAGGTGCCCAGTTACTACCCATCCTGGACTGAGGCAGCCCAGCCTCACGATGCTGGGTTCCCCCAGGAAGTTTAGTTCAGGAATACCGCCTTCTCAGGGAGAATGCCCCAATCATGGAGCTCTGCCCTATCCCCTGGGCACCAAAAGCTGAACTGGTGACTTGGGTGACTCCTGGAATGTTGAGGGACTCACTCGAATCTTATTGATACAGTCGTACGTGTTGTGAGCTCGGATGCAAGAAACCCTCGTAAAAGCACTGCTGGAGACGGATGACAAAAGAGACAGAAGTGCTTTGGAGAGCTCAGAACATTTCTTCTGCTCCAGATGGGAAAGCGTGCACCATCGGAACTTCTTCCCTGCGAGCACAAAAGAGATTAAACAGCTAAGTAGCTATAGCAACAGGACATACCCAGGTCATCTCTAAATGACCAGTACATGAAAGTCACAGGGTCATGTCCACTTAGTGGTCTGCACCATCTCAGCACTGGCCACTTTGAGCTGCGGAACCTACAACTGCTGTTAGCCTTCTTTGGAAGTCGTCATTCTAAGCATATTTGTGAAATGACATGCTCTTCATACTATTGCCCAACTGTACAAAGCCTAAAATCATCTACTCAAGAGTAAGCCCCACTATAGGACTTATGTTCTGGGTTACGCAATGGCATTTGAATTCACACTTCTTCCATACCCATTCCTCTACTTTCGCTGTGACTTTGTTCCTGGCTTACGCCTTCACAATTCAGAAACGTAGATACTGACAGGTTTTGTACATCAGAGCAAATTGGGGTGCCCAACATGCTACCCAAGAGATAAATAAGTTCCAGTTGTAAGCCCCTGGCAAGGGCTTGATTTTGCTCACTCTATGAAGCCTGAGATCCACTCAACACTGAATCACCAACCAGAGCTCCAGTGTTGGAGATGGGCCTAATGTTCAAAAATCAGATGGCGTAATAAGGGGTAGCAGAAGCAAAAAAGATGTTTGAACTGGATAGCCCCCCTTTCTGTCACCCTTACCTGAGGCCAGATGAGCAACAACAGGCAAGACAAGGAGAGCAGCCACGGGAACCAACTTCATGACTGCAGAGGCACAAGGAGGCATAAGCCATGTTGTCTTCCCCTTTCCTCATACCAAGGATTCCAGAGCAGTGACAGAACATTGGGACGGGAGGGGGGAGACTGAAAATGCACAGTGCGAAAGCAGTGTCCGCTGGAAGTGAAAGCGGGGGCGGGAAATGAGACCCATCCTTGAGTGCTAATGGGAAACCTCAGCCAGGCAAAATAAAAGATTACAGACTTTTTCCTTTTCTCTTTCGGTTCTAGGCAGAACTCTGTGGAGCTTAAAAAGCACGTGCTACATTCGAAAGAAAACACTGGCCAGTGTTAAATTTAGACTAGTACGGCGAAGCACTCCACGTATCAGCAAGAGATTTTGAAAAATGAAAACATTGTAGAAGGAAAGCCATGTTCATCTACGGCAGTAAAAAATCAGGAGGAGTCTGGTTACTGAAAGACAAGATCACTCTGATTTTTTGAAAAATATAGGTGAAACTAACCTGTACCTTCTCCATCTTTGTTCTCCACTGGCTGTTCTCTTTTTGCATTTAACTATAACAAGGCTGACTTGGTGTAATGTGTGAATCTGTATCTTATACTTAGCTATTGTGTTAACATTGACTGATTATGTGCCATCAAGTTTTGACTCTTAGCAAATACATAGATTTCCTCCATGACGATCTGTCCCTAACCTGTTCTTTCATGTCTCCCAATGTCCATCCCCCTCGCTGCTGGTCATCCTCTCCTCCTCTTCCTCCCACCCTTCCCAGCATTAGAGCCTTTTCCAGAGAGCTGGCCTTCACGCAATGCGTCCGAAGTAGGATAATTTGGGCCTGGTCATTTGTGCCTCGAGGGAGAACTCCGGGCTGATTTGTTCAATGATCCATCCGTTTGTTTTCTTGGCTGTCCAGGGTGTTCTCAGGAGTCTTCTCCAACACCAAAGTTCAGAGGTGCCAACGCTCTTCCTCTCCTGCTTCTTCAAAGTCCAACTTTCGCTTCCATAGAGGGTCACAGGGAACCCCACGGCTTGCACGATTCTGATCTTTGTAGGTATGGACACGTCCCAGTATTCGAATATCCTTTCCGAGGCCTTCATGGCTGGTCTGCGGCGTATTTTTTTTACTGATGGTTCCTTTACTGACGACCCTAAAAGGTAGAAGCTCTCCACCCCTTCAAGATCTCCCTGGACAGCTCCAAGCGTTAATGCAGAGTTGCCGCCTCAATGCCGGACCACCGCTGGAGGACGGCGGCTTCTGCCTCTCTCAGCTGCCGCCCAGATAGGGCAGGAGCCGCAGAGGTCGCTCCGTCAGGGGCACCTGCTCCAGAGCCGCGGCGCCTCCTGCCCGCCGGAGCCCTCTCCCCCTCCTTTCCCGGTGGCAGCAACCCCTGAAATCGGCCCCCGCCAGAGTCCCATTTGCAGTGGGATCTCTCAGGGTGAAAAAGCACTAAAAACATGCCTTTAAAAAAATGGAAAAAAAATTAATTTATTGCAGGGTTATCTATGGGGCCATTTAGCACAGAGGCCTCTGATAGAGAACCATGTCATAAATAAATAATTGTATCATTCATTTCTCTCTCTCTCTCCCTCTCTCTGTTTACGGCGACGGGCAGGACGGGGGCATTTCCCACCGCGACCCCCTCAGGCGGGCGGGATCGCTTGCCGGGCCGCCCAGGCCTCCGGCTGAGGAAGATGGGCGTTGTGGTCCGGCGCCCGCGGCCGCCGGCGGAGGCTGAGCGGGGGGTGTGGCTCTCGCCGCGGCGGCC